AAGGTTGGGAAGGCCCGAGAAGTGACGGATGCGAAGCATTACAAACGTGTTGTTTCGTATCTTCGCAAATTCGTGGGGCGAGACGCGAATTTGATCTCGGAGAGGGAGGTTCACCTCATCAAGGGTAAGATGAGATATGTGAGGAAATTCGAGAGAATTTACCCTCACGCCCTCCATCGTGAACTCGAGATGGACAAGATCTCCCTCCCGAATCTCAATGCTCGCACAAAAGTAGTGGAATCGGCGAAGCCCACTGTCTCTGACAAAGGTGCTAAGCCGATTTCTGACCCGAAGCCCAGTGCTGATCCGAACCCGAGTAAGAAAGCACAGGAAAAGGTTACTGAGAGTATCCCAAAACAGAATGTCACCCATAAGGGTGATCAACCTGCAGAGGGTTCTGCCTCAAAGCCCGATTCTGCGCCTAACGACAAGGGGGAGGCAAAGGCGCTGGGTGGATCCAAAGTGGTCGAAACAGGAAGAAGGGTAAATCAGCAAAGGAACCATCGTCTCCTGGGAAAGCAGATGTCGCCCCACAGAATAAATCTGTGAAGCGTATCCGCTCTTCGGAGGGTCCTCAACCCTCACCCAAGAAGACGATGACTTCTCGTCTGGTAGATCCTTCTACCTCTTATGCGGCTTGTGTTGGACTACAAACTGCGGAGAAACGACCGAGTACGGAGAAGGCTCCAACCTCCTCTGGAAAGGCGACCTCCAAGACTCGTAGTCAACGACGTAAGCCGTATGAAAGACCAACTAAGGTAGCCACCGATGAAGATCTTCTTGTGGCAATCATAGACAAAGCTGATCCTCAGGGTAGAATCAGTGAGAGTCATTGGTTGCTATTTGAAGGAGCCCTTCGGTCGGCTATCGTCTGCGGGACGGACCAAGGGGACCGACAGTTTGGCAGTGCCTTCATGCAGAAGGGTGCCAAAGTCATTAACTGTTTAAACAAGAAATCCAAGGATTTCCTTGTGGAAACCGTTAGTGGCTTTGGCGCGCTCTGGGAAGGAGCTAACCTTGCAGCGGTCTCCCTAGCAGAAATCCCGACAAGACGGGTCCTTTCGGCCTGGGTTCCCCCACCTTCTGTGGATAAGGAGCTCCTGCTGAAGATGCTGGCGCTACAAAACCCCAGCCTCACTACATCGAGTTGGATTGTGGTCAATCTAACTCCCTGTAACGAGGATGGTGGTATGGTGGCGAGAGTGGCGGTTGACCCACCAGGGGAGAAGTATCTCAGGGAGCGTGAGGGGAAACTGAACTTCGGTTCAGGATGGGTTCGGTTCCGACTGAACACATCCACCGAAACTCAGTAGGAATGGGGAAGCGGCGTAGGCTGCGCATAATGCAGATCAATCTGCATCATTGCAAGGCCGCAGCCGCCGAACTACTCCTGTCCCTCACGAACTCGGAAGTGGACATTGCCTTAGTTCAGGAGCCATATATTTATAAAAATATGGTTTCTGGACTAAGGAATGCCAACTTTGATATCTTCGCCACGTCCACGGGGGACAAGGTGAGAACATGCATAGTAGGTAAGAAGAGCTTAAATTTAATCTTTCTGTCTAATTACAGCAATGGTGACATGTGCACTGTGAGGCTGGAGCACAAGACGGGGAAGGCCACCCTGCTCTCCTCAGTCTATATGCCCTTTGAGGAGAGGGATCCACCAGGCACATGTGTACGGAAGATGCTCGATGAAATGACGAGCACCTGCAATGTTATCTTGGGATGCGACGCAAATGCTCACCATTTTCAATGGGGTAGCAAGGACACAAACATACGAGGTGAGTCCGTTTTTGATTTCATTTTATCCTATGATTTACGTATATGTAATAGGGGTAGTGACCCGACTTTTAAAGTTAGGGGTAGAGAGGAGGTCATCGACTTAACCCTCTCAAATCTTGACGACTCCGTCATCAGGAATTGGAGGGTATCTGATGAATATTCCTTCTCGGATCATTTAAAGATCAGTTCGAGCAAAGAGGTTCTGAGACTCTAAATCTTCTAGCTGAGACTCATTTCCCGGGTTGCAAAGACATGGGTACCATCGACGGTGATCGTGATGACACTCGGCCTTTTGCCACCCCGGATCTGGATCTAATTAGCAGGGTGGTTAACAGAAATAAGATACGATGGGCGGTCAACACATTTAAGCCGTATAAATCGCCAGGACCGGATGGTATTCTTCCGGCGATGCTTCAATATGCCTCGCCAAGTATTTATCTGATCCTTGAGAAGATCTATACTGCGTGTCTGACTCTCTCGTGTGTTCCGGATCTATGGAACGAGGTAAAGGTCACTTATATTCCCAAAGCAGGGAAACCAAGCCACTCTGCACCAAAAGACTATAGACCCATTAGCCTATCATCCTTTCTCCTCAAGACCCTCGAAAGACTGATCGACCTGGAGAAAAGGAGTCGTATAGACACCACTTCTCTCAGCAACTCACAACACGCATACATAAAGGGCAAGTCTGTGGAATCTGCACTGCACGAAGTGGTGGGATATATTGAGAGGAACATGGAAAACTCAAATTTTACGCTGGCCGCCTTCTTAGATATAGAGGGAGCCTTCAACAACGTTAAACTTGAATCCATAAACCACTCACTCAGGGAAGTCGGCATTCCCGATACTCTGACATATTGGATAAATAAAATGCTTAACAGCAGAATTATAAATTCAAGTGTGGGGGATACAAAAATCAGGAAAACAGTAACTAGAGGCACGCCTCAAGGAGGGGTGCTTTCACCGTTACTATGGCTACTGGTAATTAATATCATTTTGAGGGAATTGGACGGGGAATGTATCAAAGTTGTAGCTTACGCGGACGACGTTGTGATATTGATTTCCGGAAAATTTCCGTCTACAATCTCTGAGCTTATGCAAAGGGCCTTACTGACGCTGTCACGCTGGGCCAAGGCAAATGGTCTTGGTGTAAATCCAACGAAGACGGAACTGGTAATGTTTACTAGGAAGCGTAAGCTCGGTGTCTTTGTTCCACCAACATTGGATGGGGTGCAACTTCACCTATCTCCCGAAGCAAAGTACCTCGGCACAATCCTGGACTGTCAACTACGATGGAAAAGGAACGTTGAGGAGCGGGCGAAGAGAGGAATGATTGCACTCTATGCATGCAAGAACTCTATTGGGAAAAGCTGGGGGCTTAAACCATCGACTATACACTGGTTGTATAACACTGTGGTGAAGCCCATCTTGTCCTATGGCTCTCTTGTTTGGTGGAACTGTCTGAGCCTCAAGTCGACATCTAGTAAATTAGACAAGGTACAAAGAACCGCCGCAATTTTAGTTACAGGAGCCAGAAGGAGTACGCCACAAGCAGCTCTGAACGCAATGCTGTCAAGCCATTTGGGCCTAAGCATTAAGTGTCAGGCTGCGCGTAGCGCCCTAAGGCTACACGAACAAAAACTCTGGCGGAACTGTACCTTTGGGCATAGTAGTGTTCTAAATGAACCAGGTATAGCATTGGACCAACGCGCTAAACTAAGCGACTATATATCACCAATCCTTAGATTTGACGATGTAGATGTCGTTATCCCTAGTAGAGACGACTGGAAAAGAAGTAACCCTCCTCTGGACGGTCTGGCCTTCTATACAGAAGGATCCAAGATGGAAGAAGGTACTGGGGCAGGCGTCTACTGTGAAAGGTTAGGCTGGATAGTAATTGTAGTGTTTTCCAAGCTGAAATCTTCGCGATCTGGAAGGCAGCGGAATTGATAAAAAAACCTGGATGCTGAGGTCGTTGAACCGGTGACTATCTTTGTGGATAGTCAAGCGGCTCTTAAAGCCATCAAATCTTGCCACATCAAATCCGAAGCCGTCCTCAAGTGTAGAACAGCTCTGGAAGAACTAAACCATAGCTATCGGTTGTGTTGGGTACCAGGACATTGTGACATCTTGGGTAATGAAAGAGCGGACGAACTAGCTAGACGAGGATCTCAATCCACCGATCTAGAAACTGATGACTCACTTAAACCACCCATATGTCTTTTCTATAGGAACTTTGAGGCATTCTTTGACGAAACAGCCCGCGAACTTTGGCACAACGAACCTAGGTGCAACGTGTCAAGATCAATCTGGCCGAACCTGCTCTAATCTACAGCATAATTAGAAACATAAAATGGTTAGAAGCACATAACTTTGGCACGTAATGTTTTTTTCTGTCTGACTCATAGGACCATCGACCTTTCACTCATTCTTCACCCCTTTAATCTACTACTCTTCTCTCCCCTACAGATCTGTCTTCTTGATCTCTTCTCTTCACTGTATCTTTTCTTGTGGATGATCACAACGGACCTAACCGGTCTCAGAGTGTTGCAGTCACACATGTGACTGCACATCCCCAAACCTAACCTAGTACACATTAGTACGATTTCTAAATCATACAATCCACCTACCTACCTACCTATCGCTTCAACCAAATCCAAATGGTACTAAATTTAGTACAAATTAGTTCGAATTTCCAGAACTTCCTAAATACCATAATACTACACCCCAACTGTGATTCTAACTCCAAATTTCATGATTTAGTACAGTTTAGTACTTTTCGTACGTACGAGACCACGCTTTCAAAACCACCTCCATATACCATCATTTTAATTTTTTTGGAAAGTTTTGCAAATTTATGTTTTTTTCATTGTGTCAAAGTTTTTTTTTTATAAATTCTCTCCATTGTTAGGGAGGGGATAAATTTCTTTGTTGTTTATTCGAGTTAAACAGTGTAAAAAAGTCGTTCGCTCAGAAATTTCTTTATGGGGAACTAATTATTTCATAATTCAGGTTTGAACAGTGAATGAGAGAGCATTAAATTGATGATATCACAGAGATACCTGGCTATATTGTTGACGATTATTCAAGGCATTTTCATATTTAGTTATGAGAATTTTGAGATATACCACAGATGATGCCGCGTAATTAGCTTCACTTACACTATACTATGTATATGTTGCTGTGCTCCCATTTAAAAATTGAAAATACAAACATTGTAAATCTGTAACACGTTTTATTGGTCTATACTTTATTAAAAACATTTTTTGTTGTAGTTTAATATATTTTACTTTTAATATATAAATAACATGACGATTTGAAAACAGAAATTAAATAAGTGTACTTTAATGTAGTAGAAAGTGTTTGTTGTTGTTTTTCTTGTTGTTGTTGTTATAAAAGCAATATTACAATAACTGTGGTAGAATTGGCTCCTGTAATAGATATTTTACAACTGATACCACTTTTTATCCTTGTATTTAAGCATTAATGAATGCGCCGTGCCGCTGAAATCTTGAGCTTGATTGGCCATACGTTCGGCACGCTCCTCTAGCATATTAAGCTTTTCGCCGCGTTCCATTGCCAAAAGATGGGCGCGACTAATTTCAGATGCAGCTGTCGAAGCTCTCTGATTTAATTGTTCGAGTGTTGGGCCCGGAATGTGTTTAGCAATAGAACGATTTGCCTTCCCGCTTTGTTCTCCAACTATATACAAAAAATGGAAAATATATATTTTGAGTAGGTACTAGAAATAGTGTGTATTAATCGAGCTGTTAGTTCTTACATAGTTCTTCTCGGTCCAAACTCTTGGCGCCGCCACCAAACAATCCTTTGAAGAAACTCTCTTTTGGCTGCTCTGGCATCTCTTGAACCGTGTACAATGATCCCATCATATCTAAAATAAATTGACTACGGAACGAATTGTACATTTATCATTATATATCTGACGCAGATTTACCCCATTTTGACTTACCAAAACTCTGACGATATTGTAAACTTTTGTATTTCGGTGGGTGATGCCATGTACAGACCATGACCTTTGTTACTGAAGCAAAATATTTTTGATATTCTATAAAAAATGAAGTGCAATATAAAAATGGGGAAAACAAAAACAGAAATTAATTGGAATTAGTAATATTAGTATGTAACTTAGTGGACAAATGTATAACACATACTGTGTTATATCTTCGTGAACAATGATTTGTTGACCCCATATGGAAAGCATTGGATCCACAATTCCCTGTTTGCATTTGGTTTGAAAACTATGCGAATGAAGAGAAATGAGAACAAGCGATATGTCAGTTACAAACATTCTATTCTAATAATATTACGACACATATTTAGATGTATCTAAATGAGATATTGTGCAGCAACGTATGTACATATGTATGAATATGTATATGCATATAAATATATAATTAATCGTACTCACCTTAAGTCCATAAGTGGTAAGAACTCTGTATCCATTAACAACTTTAGACTAGGAAGACTATGAACCATTAGATGGCCATTGGAAAGATAGGTTGCTAAGCAAGTTCCATCTGCAATAGATAGGATAAATATTTAGATGTATATGCATGTTGGATGGCTCATTGATGTACCCACCTTTCATTGTGATAGTTTTTGCTTTAACCGCAAAATCCATTTCCGAAAAGTTTATGCGATTAACACAACATTGATTTGCAATATCGAAGACTTTGGTTTGTTTCTCGCTTGCAATTACGATATATTGTCTATCAGCTATGGTATCTAGGCCGGTGCTAACGCTTCCACTAATACCACTGCTACTGGCACTGGTACTCACATTACCACCAGATGTATTTGATATTGTATTGGCAGTTGTTGGTGTAAATGTAGGACTTGTTCGACTGCTACTTTTTGTTGGCGTTCCTGAAAGGGAAAATAATATGCTCTAATTAGAACTACACGGCGCTAATGGTAAAATGTGATATATTTCTGGATTTAAAACTATATACCACAGTCATATAGGTTTCCAGTTTATATCAATGGGAAATAGCGGCTTAAAAAATCATAACATGTTTTCCACAGGCAACAAAATGTTTAAGAGCTATTATCTAATTAGCAGCTAGTAGATATATTTTTATGTTTAGATATGTTAAGACCCGACAATAAACGAAAGAAAATTCTAAAAATTCGAAACTATTAAATGTATTTTATTTCTGAAAAGAATCGGAAATCCAGATCGGTTATCGCAAAAGCTCATACTAATTGGAATCCGACTGAGTGGAGAAATATGAATGAATGAATTAAAGTTAAAAATTAAAGACTCAGACATGAAAAAAAATTACCGAGACAAAGTCAAAAAATTAAAGTCTCATGTCCCAGTATTTATATCAAGGGTACTGGGAAGCATGGAGGATGGTCAATAATGGTATTGGACTGTTGTTATCTTTATGGAGTTCGATATATTTACGAGATTTATGAAGTAAAGGATCGGGTAGTCAATACAAATTTGTTGGAAAACGCTATGATTTAATGAAGAAAATAACCGTTTGTTAGGTTGTTTCAGCTTGACAATAACCTCCAAACATGCACCGAAACATATCAATGATAGGTTCGGAAGTCAAAAAATCAGGGTTTTATGCTTCACCCTATGGAAAAATCTTTAGAGTATCATAGATAGCAAAATCAATACAAATTCAGGAACAGGCAAACATATACACAAGGATCAAATAGAGCGTTTTATAGATTACATTTCTCTAGATGTGATGCCGTAATGATAAATAATGGTTACGATGTTGATTACTAGCTATATTTCCTTATTTAAAAGAAAAAATTAAAAAGTTGCATATATTTGGAAATTTAAGAGAGAAGAAATGTAATTTATGTATATATATATACAGTGAGTGTAATAAGTATTTTGCCTCAATACAAATTTGACAAAATTCTAATATATGCGCCTAAAAAACGATTATCACAAAAAATTATTTTGCTTTTTATTATCATTTTTGAAAAAATCAGTATATAACACACTCTTTGTCTTTTTATAGTTACCATTGCGGGTAACCACATACTAAAAACGATTTGGCGACGATTCCAATAAACCACTGCTTTTTTTCGCGAATATTTTCTCACATTTACGTTCAATACATTCTCCAGCAATTTTTCTTTTAATATATGGTAATTTCTCGTCCTAATCTCAAAATGAGAGTATTAGATATGGTCGTCGCGGCTTCAAAACATCGCAAATAACTTTAGAATAATAAAAAGGAGGTTTTGCAAAATATATCGCGAGGACAGGACCTTAAAAACTATTAAAACCAAAATCCGACAAACAAATTATTTAAAAAAATACCGCGAAACCCCATTTTTCTGACTTTGAAAACTTTATGGTTCATTAATATTGATCTAGGAACCAATATATGCGATGAAAATAGCAATACGAAGGTCAGATTCTAAGATATGAACGGTTTTGTGGCAATAGAAATACATCAAATTTCGAAAATAAATACATGGACAAGTTTATTCACTGATGCATTTTATTCGAAACTGATGATGTTAAACGGATGTAAAATATTGACTGCGTATTCGTCACCAGCTACCACAGTTTTTTAAAACGCAATAGTATTTGACGAAGAATGATGTTTTCTCCCAACTTCATGTACTGTTTGTAGTTTCTGTTGTTTTAGAACTGTTCATATCTTAGAATCTGACCTTCGTATTGCTATTTTCATCGCATATATTGGTTCCTAGATCAATATTAATGAACTATAAAGTTTTCAAAGTCAGAAAAATGGGGTTTCGCGGTATTTTTTTAAATAATTTGTTTGTCGGATTTTGGTTTTAATAGTTTTTAAGGTCCTGTCCTCGCGATATATTTTGCAAAACCTCCTTTTTATTATTCTAAAGTTATTTGCGATGTTTTGAAGCCGCGACGACCATATCTAATACTCTCCTTTTGAGATTAGGACGAGAAATTACCATATATTAAATGAAAAATTGCTGGAGAATGTATTGAACGTAAATTTGAGAAAATATTCGCGAAAAAATGCCGTGATTTATTGGAATCGTCCCAAATCGCTTTTAGTATGTGGTTACCCGCAATGGTAACTATAAAAAGACAAAGCGTGTTTTTATATAATGATTTTTTCAAAAATGATAATAAAAAGCAAAATACTTTTTTGTGATAATCATTTTTGGGTTGGTATAGATTTTGGCCGATATCTTCGAGACCAATAGGTCTTTCGCAGTGATTCTTGCAGAAATAAGATCTAAATATGTCCACAAACATATCCCATAGGCGTATATATTAGAATTTTGTCAAATTTGTATTGAGGCAAAATACTTATTACACTCACTGTATATATATTTTTAAATTACAGAAAAGTCCTTTTTTATTGCGGGCATAATAACTCTCACTGGAATCCGAAAATGCCAAAGACATTAGTACATATCTGGCTCTTGTATGAAGTAGGATTATTAACATCGCACAAAAATTAACACATTGGCTGACCTTTGATTTTTTTGGAAAATCATCTTTTTTAAAAACGAACTAAGTTAAAAAAGGAAGATCTTCAAGCGATTGGATTAGTAGTTTTTGAGTAATCGTGATAATATAATAAATGGGTTATATCTTCAAGAGTTGTTTAGATTTTCACTTGAAATTTTATATGGACTTTTTTGAATTATTGTAGGTTCGAATTAAATTAAAAAAAAATAAATGCTTTTTTTTTGAGGGGGTGGGGGACATCTTAAAGTGATTTTCGTCAATATTACACATGCTTCTCTTGATATTGTACTTTTTCATTGTTGTATTAAATCGGATCCCTAAGGGGGGTTAATGAACGGTACGGACAACTTGAAGATATTTTACTGTTACTGTTTAGCATAGACGGTGTAACAAACCTGTAGCTTCTCTCATAACTATTTCCCTGAAGATGACTGTCGAAGACAGTCGAAATATTGGAGAATAAAAAATAAAAAAGCAGAAAACAAAATACTGAATTTTATTTAACCTTAAGCCGAAACAAATCCAAACAAGAAAAATAGTTGCAATATAATTGTTATACTTACGTTCCTTTTTGGCATCCCTACTATCATCCCGCCATGGTTCAGAAGAAAATGGTATTATTGAGCCAAAAGCATCCAAAAATGACATTGATGTGATTGCGCCTTTGAGACGCAAAACTGGACCGCCTATAATTGTCAGTAAAGTAAAAAAAAGGAATAAATCAATAAATAAAATATTGGTTTTACAATACAAATGACCATCCACATACCGTTAATTGTGACCAAAACTGGTTGAGATTTTCTTACTTCACGTTCTGGCATGGAAACGACCAGCGTTAGTATGGAACCAAAACTAGTGCCAACCCATAGAGTTGGAACTACAGATAGCATGTCTATTTAAATAAATAAAAAAAACTGTTTCGTATTTAAATATCAAAAGAAAAAAACTATTCATACCATTCCGTTTGTTGTAACTTTCAATGAACGCCAAACAGGTAACTGACTCCGCGGAAGACATGTCTATGCTCGACATCGACGACGATCTGGATCTTGAGAAGGATCCATCGACTTTTTCTGCAATTATCATTCGACATATTAATATAAAATATTTTTCAAAGTCATGTTAAGTCATTTTGAATTATGTATGTGTGTAATGAGGCCATGGCAAATGACAAATTATGACAAATTTAATTTGTATCTCTAAAATGGATTAAAAATATGCATGGAAATGTGAGAGTAGTATAAATGTTGTAGCGAAACCAATAGAGTTAAATAAGTAGTGATGCGAATAAGAGGGAATTGCTTTTATTGTGTGTGTGTGGGTGGGTGTGTGTGTGTGTCTGTTGGAAAATTAATGTTAAGTGTTTGACTACAAAGGAATTGGTTGTAGCATAATGATAGGGGAATAGAGAGATAGATAGAGAGATAACGAGATATAGGTGAAAGGAAAGGTTTGGTGACTGATCGGTGTAAACGTGTACCATAATGCAATGCAAGCAGCAGACATAATGAATTGTCATTCTATTCAAACCTTTTAAGAAAAAAAATCAGCTACCCTGAATATATAGCGTAAGATCCATATTTCGGATGGTTCGGATTTTACCTAAATTTACTTTTTATTCCTATATAAAAACAATTGTATATTATACGAGAATTTACTGAAACTTTTGTGTAGTTCGAATTTTTTTCTCAAACCAGTGCCTTTATGGATTTAATTGTATTTACTTAAACGATAATGATCTTAACAAGTAAAAACCGATTTTAAAGCCGGCCAGAACTTCAATGTCTGCAAGTACATTTTACATAGTGTTTTAATTATTTAAAAAATTCCCCAATATTGTTTTACAAAGCACAAAGTTTCAAATTGAATATTTCAGAGAACTGGAATTAACTCACTGATTAGACATAGATAGAGATGGGCAGTGGGTAAATACCCAAAGGGTAAATACCAGGTAAATTGGGTAAATACCCGGTAAATTGGATAAATACCCGGTAAATTGGGTAAATACCCATTTGTGGGTATTTATTTGGGTATTTACTATATTGAATCGGTAACACAACATCTTACACCCTATTTTCGGGTTTCTGTTATCAAATCGATTTAAAATGGATAGTTTTACGATACTTTAAAGACGTGGGTAAATACCCGAGTTTTTACCCAAAAATTGGGTATAAACTCATTAAATGCCCAACCACTTGACATAGGCGGCCAAAATGTTGCACACATGTTTCTAATGTCAAAGCAAATATAGAAATCCAAGTTTTGATATAGGCCCCATATAACCGTATCTCCCTATTTAAGGTATTGTTTGTCTATTAGATACATTTCACAACCAAATTGACTGTAATTTGGCACAGAGTGTTCTCTTTGGGTACCAAATGTTCATTTTTTCGATTTTCAGTTGGATTGCAAATAAGGTTTAGAAATGCCTCATAACTTTTTCAAAAACAATGATATCGTATTGGTTTTTTTCAATTTTACCATTGGCTACTTTATATACATTTAAAAAAGCATTAATTCAAAATTCATTATGAAATTAATTCTTGTGGATTTTTGTTTTGGCTCTAGGTCAATTGAAAAAACTCGTTGGTTATGTTTTTCTTTTTTGTTTATTTTTATTTTCCAATATTTCGACTGTCTTCGGCAGTCATCTTCTGGGAAATATTTTATGAGAAAAGCAACTGATTTTCATCACCGTCTATGCTAAACAATGAAATTAATATAAAATTTGGATAAGAGAATTTTCTCAATTTTTGCTAGGACAATACTAAAGCAACTCTACAGTGCAAGCAGGCGAGCTCTAAAATTTTTGTTATTTTTACCGTTATAATTTGACAATTACCTATTACACCTATTTCGATTCTTATAGATCATTTGTAAATGGATTTTATTACAATAACATGTGTCTGGGTTTTCAATTTTGACTTACTTCCCAAAATATATTAAAATGGCTAGAAACAAATACAATATTCCGATAAAGCGGCTAATTACCAATGATTGTGAAAATAATTTATCACAGAAAATGATTTCGAAGAAATATTCCATGAATAAATCATTGATTTCTCGAATTATAAATTGATTTTATGCAAAGTAACATCAGTTCGTACTGATCAACAAATTGCCAAAGCAGTAAAAAATACCCATTTAAGAGTTCAACGGAATTGGTGAGACGTTTATCGTCGGATATAACCACAAGAACAGAGCGTGGACGAGCTATGATAGCAGGTCTACATGTCCGGAAACTAACAAGAAAGCCTTATTATTTCTGAAGAAATCGGAAATGCTTTTGCAAAAGCTCATATTACTTGGAATTCGATTCAGTGGAAAAATATTGTATTCTCAGATGAATTAAAGTTAAATATGTATTAAAAGCGTATCAGACACGAAAAAAATGACAGTGAGAAGATCAAATAATAATTAAAGGTCAAGCCTCAGTATTGGGAGGCATGGAGGATGGATAATAATGGCCTTGTGCTGTTTTTATTTTTATGGTGTTCGATATATTAACGAGATTTATGAAGTAATGGATCGGATTGTTTATACAAATGTGTTGCAAAATGTTTACTTCAGAAAAAAAACTTTCACTATAACTTCATTTTCAAAAAAAAAAAAAGTTACAGGCCACCAGTAATTAAAGAAAAGTCATCTTTTCGATGGCGAGCATGATTTTGGACCACTGGAACATCGATTCCAAAACTCCAGTGAGCCCCGAAATGGATCGCGTCGGTAAACAAACGTTTATATATGCGGTCCTGGGTAGATACCATAATTATTTATCGATTTGAATTGTTTATATGTATGTGGACTTGAGAATAAAAAGAACAAAATATGCTTTGGTTTTGTGTTAGTTCGGCGTTTGTTTGTACAAGAAATGGATTTGAGAATACCCTCAGAATATTCAATATATATTTTATTAACATTTTTGTTTTAAAGAAAAATATTGCTATTTTTAATATTGCTAAAATTTGTAAAATATATATATATATATATATACGAGGGCAGTTCGTAAAATTCTTAGCCTAGCAGAAAAAGCGCGGTATAAACAGAAAAAAGGTTAGTGTTTTGGAATCTTCCATCTCTGTTATGAACACATGTTCAATTTTGTTTTAATCTGACAACACCTTCATATAGAAACAGGTATTCAAAAAAGATGCATCCGCAATTTTTTACAAAGGAAAAATTAGAAATGCGTGCTTTCATTGTAAAATAATTGCGGATGCGTCTTTTTGAACACCTGTTTCTTTATGAAGGAGTTGCCAGATTGAAATAAAATTTAAAATGTGTTTGTTCAAAATACTTTGAACAGAATTTTGTATCACGGAAGATTTGATCGTTGGAGTGTTTTAAGATAAGAGTCTAAAATCCCACACGCAACGTTGGGAAAACTCTCCACAGATAAAATTCTATTATTGGAACAAATAGTTTATTGACAAGTATTTTGTATTTGAAATTAGGCTAAGCAAGAGTTGTTTAAGTAGAACCTATGGATAAATATTTTAAAATAAAATCAGTGCCTAACAACCACTCACATAGATCAGTGCCTAACAACCACTCACATGTATCGCCGTGTCTCAATAATTTTGTGTACAGAGGAGTGACTTACAACCACTCAACAAGAACGGCGGCTGTCCGTGTCTTCTTATTTGTTATACAGACGAGCTACGGCTGTCTGTATATTTTAAATAGTGTTAATAATAGAGATGGATGTTTTCAAAACACTTTGTGCTAGGCTAAGAACTTTCCGAACTGCCCTCGTATATATGTATATCCTTTTTTAAGTCTTCAAAGAGCAATAGATTTGTAGTCAGTCATTGGTAGTTTTTTAGGTCAGTACGACCATTCTTTAATAAAGAATAAAGAAGTCGTTAAGCTCTACCAATACATTCTTATCAACTTGTTCATGTTATATGTTATTTATAACATAAAGAATATTAATTTAATTTTAAATAAATTTGTTAGGCTGGTTTTCGAGTTTTGGTACATTCTATTGTAGAATACTCTGACATGCTATAATTCCGTTTTAAATGAGTTTTCATTCATTTCTGGAATAGGGGGATCGAAAATACCTTGGCTTAACATATTAGAAAAAAATATTCCTCACATTTATATTAGTAATATTACCAAGGAGATCATATAACTAAAATGCAAGGATTTCGAGAAATCTTAACCGAATATTTTCAAATGTCTTGGAAATGGAAAATAGTGCCCCTCACTCCTTATTGTCATTAAATTTGTTATCTTTTTGGAATTCATTGAACAAATATTCTAGCATATAGTATACGTACTATACATACATATACCAAATTTTGATCATCATAATTAATATATAGAACTAAAAAATATAATCCAATTAAAAAAAAAAAAAACGAAAAATATCAAACAATATAAAAAAGTAAACAAATAAAAATAAATAATTTTTAAAATAGAATAGGGAAATTAATTAATTACAACTTATGGATAGGAGAATTATGTGGAGATGTGTATTTTGTTGTTCCTTGTCTTCATGGAGATTGACATGTATCCATGTATGTATGCATGTGTATGTATATTATGTTTTGTAGTGTTGTACATGTCATCGTATGCCTGTATATATGTATGTATGTTCATAGCGAAATAATAATTAAGTAAAAATAGAATAGAAGTAGGAAAAACGAGTATTACTTACGTTTTTTAAAGAAATGATTACAAAATATTATGAAAAAAGTAAATTTTCGCAAACGGACCTAATATCATGAACAAGTATCATATAACAATAATAATAATTATAACAATAGTTGTAAATTAACAATATTAGGAGAAGTAATAATCAAAAGAAGATAGAATAATTCATTATTATAAATATTGAAATTAAATAGCAATTGCCGCATTTTATCGAACTAAAACACATTTTCTCATTTCATTTCATCGTAATTTTAGTTGTATCAATCAATCAATCAAACTCTAATATTTTTGAAGTTTTTTGTTTTTGGTCATCAGATATTTTATAAAAAGCCTTATTTGTATGGTATATGTTGATGATGATATGGCAACACTACAAATCATACAAGTCATAAATAGCCGATCACTGATTATCGAATCGATTCGAAAATATTATCCAACAAATAAAACATAAAAACAAAAATAAATGTTTATAATTATGTTATAAATATGTATGTAGATATATATATTTATGTTGGATGCATATAATCAATGACAAACGAAATGCACTTGTTTCTTAATGATAAGAATAAATATTTATTAAAACGTGTGTGCGTGTGTGTTTCTATTTGGAAAAGAACACGCTTGCCAAAGTGGAAGTGTTCCTAGTGAGGGAAGGATATGCTAAACCAGTTTTTTTTTATTTTTATATTTGGGACATTTGTGTGTATGATTAAGGTATTAAAAAATATATTATAATATATATGGGCAATATTGCCAATTTCTTAATACTCCATTTTCAAAAAATCTGCTTTTTTGTTTCTGTGGCACATCAATGATTTTTGATACACATATAGAGAAAAATGTTCTGACTCCGAAACCATTCGCGATCAAATTTTTGGTTGATGCGCGCAAAAGTTATCGAGGTTTTAATTTTTGGGCATAGGAAAAAAACCTTAAAATTACGCCGTTTATTATATTGACCAAAAACGTTGATATATATCTTCCTCCGTAATATAAGAATATGAATATATTATAATAATCGCGATAAAGTTGCACATCTTAGCGAAATATGAGAAAAATAAAAAAATATAAGAGATTACATCAATATTTTCATTATATTAATGACATACACACACCTAAAAATTAATTTAAAAATATCTACATAATCTAAACACCATGATGAATCAAATGATATCAAAATCACAGAAGTCCGTGTAGCGATTTGTAAATCACAGCGACAACAAAACAAGATATTGAGAAAAATTTTTGTTTTTGGTTCGAAAAAATAATGTCATCATATTTATTTTTTTTTAATTTTATACAAGAAATTTCAGAAAAAAAGTTGGGGTTATTCTGCTATTTTACCCGAATTTCGCGAAAAATTGACATATATAAAAATAATCACTTTTTGTGTATAAGTATACGCCTTGCGGATTATATCAAGACCCTTCCGATAAGTCTTGGGGTTCTATAAATAGGAATAAATCTTAAAATAAAATAATATTATGAAATATACATTTTAAATTGCGTCTAAATCGCGTAATTCTCAAAATCATTTAATGCAGGAAGTACTGATGTTTATCTTCCAATCCATATATATTTTGGGAAATTTCATTTGACGGCTAAGATGTACTACATGTTGCATTGAAGTACCCAAAAACTCGTAAAGCGCGAATAATTTCCGAAAACTCCATATGCCATTAACGCGCATCCGATTTCGGTGTTGACCCTAAAAAAATACATCGATCTATACCGACTTCAATGTGGTCCATTACGAACCATGGATGTGCCAGCTCACACTATTTTTGAGATAAATTGGGTACATCTCTCTTTCGCAAATAAATCCGCGATCTTTTCAAAAACATTTTTTGTCAAATTTCGTGTTTTTGGAAGGCCAGTTCCCGCCGTTCTAGTAGATGGATTTTCACGAAGAAGATTTTATATCATCCGAAACGTAAAAAACCTTATTGATCGCGGGTACCCATATCATTCAGTTGACAGATCTAAAAATTTGGCCCGAAAAATAGGTTTTTTAGTATTTTGATCGCACAAAATGTTCACCATCGGATGAGTATTACTCTGAAGCTGTGCATACTACATATACAAAATACATATCAAATTACGCAGATTCGCGACTACAATAATCTTATAATCGATTTTTAGAAATTCCTGTTTGCGTATTAAAGCTAGAAGTAAAATAAAAAAACACTCAAAATCGAGCTACAAAATGTCAGCAACAATTAAAGGCAGATGCAGTAATTCCCGAGTTATAAAGGGGTGAACTCCGCTTAAGCTATATTAAAAAATTTACAATATTGCCCATATATATATAGAATCCATGTCAATATTTTTCTTAAGGTTTTTATCGAGTTTCTATAACATCTGTTAACCAAAACTACACACATTATCCTTAAAAATATTCTTTAAACTTTGTTTTTGCAAAATAGTCAGGCTGAATCCCAGTTTTTTGTTTTTATAAAAACAACTATTTATTAGTGGGGAAAGTGTGGCATTGTCAACCAAGGATTAAGGCAGGGAAGACTATAATTTCAGATCTCGCCACTGATCCTCATCAGTTCCCTTAGTTTTTTCTCGGAATAATCTCCTCAGAAGCTATTAATAGCTTCTTTACAAAAAACCTTTTATACCCAAATGTCTCTTGTAACAAAGCGAAGTATTAGCTGACCAACGAAATAAACTTCATGTGAATTTCGCTGATGCCTCACTTCGAGGTTAACAAGGCATTTGTAAACAAGCCAAAAGAAAAAAACAAAGACATAATACCCTGAACCACAGTTTGGTAAAGGGTATATTTAGTTCAACACCTCCTTCAAACACCTCCTCAGTCCCCGGATTTGAATGCTATAACATCATAACATCTCAAGCATGCCAGGTCACAAAAAAGGCTTTACAAAGGCTTTACTGTGAGGTTGCAACTGTTTTTTTTTTAACAATCATTATTCTTTATATTGAATTCACATATAAAGTAAATTTTATTGCATTAATTTTAGGTTGAGATGTTCACATATAAAAAATAATAACATTTAATTTATTGATTAACATGAATTTGTGGCATTTTTATTACAAAAAAAACAAGTGGATACTTTTGACAGTGACTCACTGTATATATTAAAAAAATCCACACTAATGATTTAATAGTAAATGTTCTTAAACAATTTTAAATATCCTTGAATATTATAAAAGGTGGTCAGTAAAAATACCAGTAATCGTTTGGGAAGTTTATACGTGGCGGGCTATGCCATGATAAATGTTTTGTAGGAAGATTTGACACCTAGCCGATTTGGTTAAAACCAAAGCCGATTTGGTTAAAACGTGACCAAATTCCCCAAACTATCGAGTAATGGTGTATGGGAAAGGTATAACAATATATATATATATATATATTTTTTTTTTTTGACAAATAATCTATATTTACAAAAACAAATAAATGTCGACATACACGAACAAATATTATAAAACATAAACATATTTCGGACGACTTCACAATATAATTTTGCATGAAAACATTATGTACCAATGCAATACAAGTAATAACAACATAACAAATAATTGTCTATTTTTACGAACATTTGTAAGTAAGACCTCAAAGCAATGATTCTAAAATGGCTTATCGACAGAATTAACGACAATAACCGATAATTGGAAAACGGAACTTAATTTGCTTTTATTTAACGAAATTGGTCGAAAAGTTAGCGAGCCTAATAACTCATCCAGTAGCAAAAAGCTACAAATGGAAACAAAGCTTTTTCAATTAAATTAACTTTGAATATTAATAGGAAAATCATTAGTCGTATCGAATATTTTACATTGAAGTCTCATATTTAACTGGTTTATACGCACCTACACCTACAGATAAACAGAACATTTAAATCAGCATCAGGCAAACCCCGCACGCGTTCTCTCGGCGAGAGTAAATATCTCCATACTCACACAGACATTCAATTGAAGCAACAGACCCTGAAGGAAACGTGGAGACGGTGGTGGTCATGTCAACACCTTTGTCTACAAGTATGGGGACATTGTCAACACTTTTTCTACGACGTTGTCAATTATATTAAATTTTATTTAATAAGAAGAAGCATTTTTACACTTACAGGGATTGCCTGTAAAAGAGAAGAAGCACATTATTCATCTCTTTTCTTCTATTTTCTTAGTTGCGTTGAGTTGTATTCTTTTCGCGGTTCCTATTTCGTGAATTAAGTAAAAGCTATTTTTATAATATTAAACGGCATGTACATGAGGATTTATTTGACATATATACAATGAAAATGACAATTAAAACCCACTGGTTTAACGAAATCCGGTACAATGTAAACGTACTCGTATATATTGTAAAAATGTTAATAGTTATATCTCAACTATTATTCAGTAATACAAGTATAAGCAAGGTTTATTCATAAGGTTAACAGGCAGGCGAATTCATGCCTTAGTCTTCTCTTGATGTCAATATTTTAATCGCGAAATACCAACCAGAACAGGATAACAATTCAAAATATCTATCAGATAAACGTAATGATAGTAGTGTGCACATATATTTTGATTCGAATAAAAATATTTGTTGTTTATTTATTCTTCAAATAATAAATTTGACAGTCAACGAAGACTACGAATTTGCCTCCCTGTTAACCTTATGAATAAACCTTGAGTATAAGTAATAGATATAAAAGACAAGTGAAAAATGACAATTTGTTATCAAAATAGAAATTGTAGACCGACTGTTGTGGTGAAAATATTTGTGATTTTTTTAACCTTTTGTGGAACATCCAAAATCTCTGTTGACTCACTACCCCCAATGTCTCTATTGACTCACTACTGACTTTCGAATGACACGTTCATATAAAGTGTCTATGGGGAAATACATGTAGTTGTCAACAGTCGCTCAATGACAATAGGTCGCTCACTATTGGCATTTCCTACAGGGGAAATTCATTGACTTTTGTCAATGTGGGAGAACGTAAAGTTATTACTCTCTGGCCGATGCTGATTTTAATTATCCACCTACTTTCCGCCTAACATTCAGATTCTATACGAAAAAAAAGAATTATTTGCGAAATTCTCATGGATAACATGACACCCTTTTAGAATGTTTGTTTGTATGTATGCATGTATATGTAGAGAGTATGTTTTTTGTTTTTTTTTTTTTGCTGTGATGTTGATTGCACTGCATTGTATTGTTGTGTTCTCTTATTTATAGGGAGGGTATATATATTCTTGTTCTTGTTGCTGTTTTTCAAAAGCTTTCGAAATATGTTCCGCACCTGTATCCCCAACGTAAATGCCACTGGATGCTCCGGCGGCTGACTGCCCATCAGCGGCATAGTCAAATGACGTCGACGACGTGGAAGCCTGTTCGGTAAATGATGCTTTGTTACCGCCGCTGGAAGAAGCAGCACCAGTCAAAGACTCATCGTTCGCCGAAGGATTTGTCTCGTAACGAATGTGATGGTTATTGGGACTACCTGAAAATGGTATTTTGGTAGAGCTGCTGCATGCACTGGTGGCAGGTGCTGTACTGGTGGCTCCATTGATCTGGGATAAATATCAATTCAAACAAACAAACAAATGGCCATGACAGTAATGAGTAATCTTCATTAGACATATGTACACTAGGGTGGATTTACACAAAAAATATTATACTAAAACAAAATACAATTGATTCAATAGGCTTTCAACAACATTCATTTTTTTCACTTTTTGCTGTCAACTGCAGGTATGCATTTGTATAAGTTTGGGTTTTTGCATTTTAATTTTCAATATATATATTGCATGTACATATGTGTTCGATTGCATACTCTCACACACAAGCCCACACAAACAGACATACATTGACATTAATTGAAGTGTACACAGAGAGAAATAAAAATAAGAAGAAAATAGAGAAACTGAAACGAACTGATTATGGAAACAAATTAACATCGCCTGAAGTAGTGATGCAGACAAAAAACAAAAAAAAAACATCGAAGGGGCATTTCTGTTTCGAGAGATCACAGCTGAATGTGAACCAAGGATGTAGCGGCAAATAATAGAAAATCAAACTATATATCGAAATAAAATAAAAACGAAAACCGAGAGCAGAATTCAATTTGGCAAATCAAGAGTAAATGGAAACGAAAAGAAGACGAAGTGCAGCAGCATTTTGAGTTTGAATTGAATGCTATTCTTGTAGTTTGATTTGATTTCATTTTTTGTTTGTTTTAATTTAGTTTAAGACAGCAAATAAATATATACATATATAAGTGTAAATTGCAGCAGAAACATACTCTGTGTCTGCAGCAAATTGTAAATAAAATTTTACACAAAAATATTTTGCACAGTGTGTCAATCAATCAGGCTAGGTAGGTAGGTAGTGGGCAGTAGTAGTTGTTGTAGTTTTGCATTGTTGTACTTACAGACATACAAAAGTAAAATAGTTAACGTATTTGGTTGTTGTTGTTTTAGTTGCTGTAATAGTTGTTGGTTGTGCTTAAACATAATCAATACATACATACGTACATACGAATACAAACAAAGTAGTAAACACATTAAACAAAATAAATAAATTATGGAACAAATTGAACAATAATTAGAATAGGAACTTAGAAGAACATTTTTACAAAACCATATTTTATATCTCCTTAAATTCAATAATTGTTTTTTTTTTTTTTTTTTTTGTAAAATTATAAAAACGTATTTATATCTATGAGAGAAATAAATAAATAACTCAAAAATTATCATATTCATGAGAAAATGCACAGTGAGAGATAGAGAGAGTGAGAGAAGGACAGAAAGAGAGAAATATAGACAGAGACAGGGGCTCACAAATTCATAATTTCAGATAGACAGATATAGAGTGGGTGTGATTGTGGCAGTGGGTGGTTCAATACAATTATTATATACATGTACAAGGACAAAAGAAGAGACCCCTTTTTTGCTCTTCTCTGGACTAAGACAGACCTATATATAAATATAATCATACAATTTGTATGTAGTATATGCAGAAGACATCGATTATTATTATTGTTTAATTTTCAAGTAAAAATATTTTTGTTTTGTTGTTCCGTATAATGGCTTGGCCGGTATTGGGTGAGCGTAAATATCGAAGCAATACTATTATAATTTTAAAACAGTGCCTATATGTAATTTCAGCTAATTTAACTCAAGACAAGTTCGGACACTAAGCCCTAACAACGTTAATTAAAATCCGACGGGGGGTACAAAAATATTCAACTTCCCCACTATGGTAAAATGTTGTGTACGGCCGTATTACCCAAATACGTCGAATCCACATCTTAAAGCAAATAATACAAACCGCAAAACAAAATTGAAAATTTATTAAATTAATCCACGTATTTTTAGTTTCCATTCGAAATTTCAAATTTCCAAACCTTTAAATATTACAATAAAAAAATTGTTTTCGAATTTTTAGCAATTTTTGAGAGCAAGAACACACACACACATTATTTCTTTCAAAAATGTGACTGACGTAAGAACGTTATCATATAATTACACGATTCCCCATAATTGAAAACTAACATTGTGTATATTGAACATTGAGGAGTAGTGAGTTTAACACAATAGCTCATCAACAACAATAGCTTCTATATTGTTTACAATTTTTGTTTTGGATGATTGCCAACAAAAATGCTATAGTTTGGGCATTTGCAGGGTATTCTGTTTAGACTTCAATTAGGGTAACTACAACATTTACTCATGTTGTGCTTGTGAAATAGGGGGGACGGACTTGCAGTGGCGAATTGGGAATTGACGTATAAAACTCGATATAGGTGATAGTTTATATTCATTCGATGTGAATACTATGTATTGCTTGCAATTATCTTGTGACTATGATTTTCTTTTACATTTTCACTACAAATACATACGTACATACACATATAACTTATATATAGTTAAACTTAACCGATCAATAGTAATAATATATAAATACATATGTGGTATATCAATATGTTGATAATTTTCATCTATATGTAATGTATAACATTTAATAAGTGAAGACTATCTTGATATTGTGGTGTTCTATGCTTCATTGTTAATGGTATCGAAAAGTACCTGAAGTGGATCAGTATGTGTGTATGAGGTTTTTTTACTTTGAATGCAGCATTAACGACATTTGTTAATGTGTGTGTTTGAGGTACGTTAATATAATTAGGATTATTATGTATGTAGGTTTATTTATAAATATTTTTTTTTGTAAGATAATTTGGTCATTACCACCAACAAAATATTTCCTTAAATATGCACATAAACAACAACACTTGTTGGACGGTTCGGCTTCAGCATTGCACAGCTTTCAATCAACATGGAGGAAAATAAAAACAAATAATTGTTATAAATTAATATTATCCTAGTTTCATTCTAAAAAAAGAAATATTTTCTATTTTATATCCAATTGAAACCGAAGCCAATGGAATATAATTTCATTTAATTACAAATGGGACCAAAACGAAAGTATGCATTCTGTAATATAAGATACGAATGACGATTACAAAACTTACTACTTTTCTTCCTCCTTTTATGAATACAATATCATTTATATAATATTTTCGAAAAACATTTGCAATATAATTAATTAGGCAGAATATCGGAATATCAGAATTGAATTGAATATTGATTGAAACGAAGCTACAACAGAACATGAATGTATGCGATAAGTTTTCATGTCTTATGCTAAACGCTTTACCTATGCACAGTGGGGACGAAATTTTAATTAAATAGTATACTGTCTGCGAGAGAGGTCGAGTCAATGGCTACAACGCTACTTATATATGATAAGAAAAATATGCGTATTTTATCAGCATTTAATTTAAAACATTGTGGAATAAAATATATGTTTTATGTTCTTATATTTATGTTCAAAAATGTAAAACTAATAAAACCTATATAAAACAATGTGACACATTTTTGAACTTGAAAATCTTGAACAAATCGGGACAACCAAAATTTAAAGTCTTAATTGAAATTGTCCTTATTCACCCCAATATAACCTATGTTGTATTAGTTTCGAGTAAAACGTTGTAATCCTTGTAAAATTAGTGTTGAGTGTTTTTTTGACCTTTTTGTTGATATTCCAGTAATGAGATTCTTTGAGCTTGAGGTCTTTTGTTAAATTAGTTTATTTATTCAAATATTTCCCAATATTTCGCAATTATCAAATTGCATCTTCAGGGGTGATCTATTCTTAAATAGATAATAATAATAGATTAAATAGATTTAAGAATAGATCACCCCTGAAGATGCAATTTGATAATTGCGAAATATCGGGAAATATTTGAATAAATAAACTAATTTAACAAAAGACCTCAAGCTCAAAGAATCTCATTACTGGAATATAACTTGTAAAATTAGTAAATTCTTACTAGTTCTGGAACGGACTAGTAAGAATTTATTAATTTTACAAGGATTGCAACGTTTTACTCGAAAACCGTTCCTGAACCCAACAGAACTGGTAAAACATTGAACCAAATTTAAGAGGACTCAAAACAAAATGACGTTCTCTTTCTAAACCTTTTTCTCGAAAAATTTGTCCGAATAAAAATAGTAAACAGGAATGCCAACTTCAGATTGGTTGTTATGTTGATTTTGAAGTATTGCCATCTAATTTTGGCATATTTACTAGATTTGCGTTCCCGAACTTTTCAAATTATTTTGTACTCTGAGAGCGATTTTGAAATATTTCTAGCTTTACTAGATAAGAACTACCTAAAAATAGACAGTTTGGAATGATAATGTTACCAAGGGGTTCAAAACACATAAAGGGTGATTTTTTGGCAACACTAGTTCGTGTTTTGTTGCACTGTCAAACATCTTCAATTTGGTCTATAATTTAATCATGAATCGCCTTACAAACGAACAACTCTTGCAAATTATCGAATTATGTGATTTGTCAAGAAAGCGCGCTTCTTACACTGTGATTACGCCTGACTATTTTGCAACAAGAAAAAGTTAGATTAATTTTTTACTCAGTAGGTACCTAAATAGGCAGAATCAGAGCAAAAGCGACCAAAATATGCCATTCATTGCACTTTATGGACTGATGGAAATTGGAAGACGGTCCCACAGAGAACGCTTAAGAATGGCTTATGGAGAGACGAGTTCTGTGAACATTTTATTTCACGTTCGGAACC